ATCTCCATGGGAATACATTCGAATCCATTGCATATGATACTGCACTGACCATGGAAGGGTCGTGCCAGGTATCACTGCACATTTGGAGTCAATGGGCTGATGCAGCTTACTCAAACATGACAGTTTAAATCTTTCATACAAATACTTACGGGCAGCGTTCTGAACAAGGAAGTTAACCTGTCGCTGAAAATGTTACCATAGGCAGGAGGGTCACCATGTATTAGGGTGAGACCTTTTCTTATTGATTAATGTTTATTAGCTTAAGCACAGATATGTCAAACTCCCAATTACACACTTGAAGCTAATTGGAATGGATAATACAGTCTTTTTAAAAAGTGAAAAGAGGAATCATTCCGTCTAGTAAAATGATATTTTACTTTATTGATTTTGCTATTTGTTATTTGTGAAGTTAGTAGTTTCTTTTGGAGCAATTTTATTGTGTTTCATGCCCATCACTCACTGTCAAAATTCTTGAGCCTATTTTTCTTTTCCTAAATGATCTAAGTTGTTAGTGTTCCTGTTGTCTGGTCTTGCCTGTCTCTGTCACCAACAGCAGTTGGCCACCTCTTTGCATCTGTGCTCCCCTTGGTGGATGTCAGTTGCAGATGACAATGTTGAACATTGACCACTGGCTGGCCCTGTTGTCTCATCTTCAGTACTGCAATGCCAACTTCAGATGGCACTAGAATAACTCGAAGCAAAATACTCTGACAGTCATGGCTAGCTCTCTTTCTTCAGCAGTTTTAGGACATGGAGCTATGTTTATAGTAAAAGTCTGTCTAAAATTCAGTTTCTGTCAAACTTAAATCTTTCTCCCAGAAGTTTTACCATCTCCAGATGCTTGTTGGCTTCCATCTCTTCTGCATTTCCTCCTTTTTATGTCTCTCTTCTGCCTGTAATTTGTGTCCTATCTCCAGCAACTGAAGTACAGCATAGCAGACATGCCCAGATTAGTTGTACAGTCATAGGATTTACAGCGTGTTTGTAGATTTACAGGATACAGTTTACACCGTATTTGTAGAATCAGCTTATGTTTCCCTCAAAGCTTCAGGAAAAAAAAGAGTAAATAATTACGGAAAGCAGCTGTTCATTATATTGCTGTGTTATTGGAGCAGTCTTTGAGTTCACTCTCCATGGGAGGTATTTTGGTCTTTCCTGTGAAGGAGGAAATGCCCAATTATTCTCTGCAGGCCCTCCTTTGTAGTGACAGAGCAAAGTGAATCTCAGTTCTATAGGCAGTGGCCTTAATGCTGGGATGTACTATCCCTGTGGCATAATTGACTGTTTAGCTACTGCAAAAAGTATTGGAATAATTATTTGGCATGAAATAGTATGTATTCCTCTTGGGGGAGGCGGGGGCTCTAGGCACTTAGCAGCATTGGCTGGGGCGGGGTGGGGAAGATGTTAAACCATTGTCCCTTCTGCCTGGTGAACAAGATGAAAATACATAGGTATCAGTCCTGTAGTAGTAGCGCAGCTCTGAATTGTTTTCTGAGCACCCTGCTCATCATAATGGTAGCTATCTCTTTGTTAACTAGATCTTTTTCAAATGTTTTATTTTGTTGCACTCTTCGTATTCTTGTCATGAGTCCAACAAATTATCTCTTCTCATTATTTGCGTGTTTGTTTTAATCGGGATTACTTTTTAATGTCTCCCTATAATTATAAATAATAAATATAATCATAAGATCATGAATAATAAATAACTATGCTGAATACTATTTTTGGAGGTTATATGGGATCAGTCTCTGACCCCTTTTGGGTTATTTTGACTGTATTCTACCATGTCTCAAACCTGTCTTGCCCTTTCTTACAGTTAAACAGCCCAATTCTGCCTTTAGCCAATTTAGTATTGAGGTGTAGTGGGTCCTTATTTCGAATCAGTAGCTGTTTATATGGTTGGATGGGCTTGTGAAACCTCCAGCTGCTCCAGCAGCCCACGGAGAAGGGCCACACAGGGCTGTAGGCGGGGGAGCAGAGCCACCCCTGTGCCAGAGGGAGCTGCTGCAATGCATGAGTCGAGGCTGCTGCCTCCCAGGGCACAGCCGAGCCTGCCAAGAGGCGAGGGAGGCTTGGGCGGCTGCAGGCCCAGCTCCGGAGGGACGAGGCTGGAGGGCAGGAGCCACGAGGGCAGCTCCGGAACGGGGATTCTGCAGGAGTTGCCTGCCAGGCATGAGGGAGGCTGGAAAAGAGGTTGCACCAGGCCCACCACAGCGGGGGGAGAAGGGGAGTGAGGGAACAAGAGAGAGACATTTCATTGCTGCTCTAACAGTTTTAGATATGTACCTTTTTAACAAATATATATATATATACACACACACACACACACACACACACACACACACATCTTCCTCTTGCTCCTTTTCTCCTTTTTCTCCTTCCTTCCATGAGATTTCCCAAATTTCCTTCCCTCTTTCCTTTCATTTTGTCTGATAATGTGCATGTCTGCCCTGACTCAAATTGCTTTTAAGGAGAAAGAGGAATTAAACTATCAAACAAATTCACTTTAGATTTTGGAGTAGCAGCTTCCCTTTAGGCTGGTGCTATTTATGCATGAGAAGTTTGGGTTCGTATATTGCTGTGGGTATGAACATTAGGCCTGGAAAGGATAATTGCCAGTCTTGTAATTCAGCCAAATGCAGTGCAGTGCAGATAAATAATTTAAAAATCAGACATCCAGCCAAATGCTAATATTTGCATTCATCACTGAAATATAGAAGGCAACACTGCTGATGAAAATACTTCTCATTTTTACTGTGGCACAGATGAGTTCCAGATATGGGAAACTAGGTCTCATGTTAGCCCACAAATGATCTCAGTTATATTTGAAGTACTATGAAATGTTCAGACTTGTGTCTATGTGATTCTTAGTCAAGTCAGGGAGGCAGCTGCTTTCTGATGTCCTAGGCAAGGCTTGGAGAACTTAGGGATATCACAAGACTTGAGCTTTTCTTTACAAACCTTAAAAACAGGAAGCTGCTGCTGTGTTTGGCTACTTAATGCGTCTTCAGCCAAAGAGTGAATTATCTGACACATTACTGGTCTTAGCACTTATTAAATAAGCAACTCAAATAGTCAGGACTAATATTAAACTTGTCCCTTTTGCCCTTTTTTTCCCACTTTCTGCCCTTTTTTTTTTTCTCCTGTCTCTCATGATACATTTGCCTGTTGCATGAATTAGATTTATCATTTTCCTTTTTAAGGTATAATAATTGGAGGGAGAGTACAGGAATCTCTCCTTTTCTGAGGGAAAATTTAGTAATGTGTCTGAGCAAATTTTGTCAAGGCAGTTAATACTTAATTTTTGGATATATATATTCTTCAGATAATCTGTGTTATTCACGTCATCTTTGTTTTCATCTCTGAGAAGGAATCATTTCCAGATCTTCTAAGTTCCTACAACTATTGTTCCTTTTTCTTGTATAGGTATTATTGGTTGCTCCCATAGGCTCAGTACACCATTCAACATGAAGCTAGACATTACTGTAGGAACTGGCCCAGTGGATGAGCCCTGCAGTTGCCTTGCTCAGTTTCCTGTCCCTGGTCGATACCGCTGTTAGGTATCAGAGGAAAGCGCAATGTACCTGTCAGTAAAGAAATAATGAGCCTAACGCAGAGAGCTTATGCCTTCCGCTATCAGCCTGTTATTAAGTTGTGCCATGAAAAACGAGAATCTGTATTACTACTTGTTTTTTTTCCAACCTAAAGCAGCTTTGGAGTTTTCATTATCTGTATAAATGTCTAATCCTTTCTGAAATCCTACTAATCTCATAGTCTCCATGATGTTTTGCAACAGTGAGTTTCACCTCAGGTTAATCAAGTACTCCAAGAAAAATTGTTTGCTTCTGTCAAGTTTGTGTGTTGTCTTTTCAGTTTCACTTCGTGACCAGGAATGCAGTTTTATTTCTCTTTTTCTACCATCCATTATTTTCTAAGCCTCCGTAATATGTGTTTCCTCTCTAAAGCAAACAATTTCAAATGTCTTGGTCACTTTTTCTTGAGTAATAGGGTTGTATGCTTTTCAGTATTTTTATTTCATGCTTGTATTTTTGTCCAAATTTTGAAACCTGAATTTTGAAGATGAGTATTCCAGATGTAATGCTATTTTGTAAATTTGCAGCAGTATTACTTGTCCAATTTTGATTCTTTTGATTCTTAGTTCATTTTTCATTTCATTTTCTCTGGTAAATCCCATGTGCACCAAGGAGTTTTCAGAGGGGTGTTCAATGCAGGTTCTCACAACACCTCCACAAATAACCCTTTACTTACCTGAGTGTCCAAGAATATTTCACTAAGTGATTTAGTTAACGTTTGTCCAAGTGCTTCTGTGAAAAGGAGAACCAAGTGTTTTGAAAACATTTTGGTAGAGTTTTCATTTTTGGTTTGGTGTTTGAAGTGTTTTATGCATACGCTTGTCACAAACAGGAGAAATAATGGCACTTGGAGTATGGTGAGCTCGGTGAACTCTGCTCCTGTTGGAAATTTAAATTGTCTAAAATGAAGCCCAGGTTTCTTCCTGCAGAGGAGCCTAAGTTGTGGCATTTGCTACAGCAGCTTAAAATGTGGAATTATAGTCTGTTGAAGTTGATCTTGAGATGTCTCAATGGAGGTTTAGTCTCTGCATGTTAAGACACTTTGATGTACTGTTTTCCAGAGTACAGCATGAACCTGATTTATTTATTTATTTTTAAACAACTGTGGCTGACTGGCATTTATGAAAATGCAGTCTGTCAAAAAGTGTTAGAGAATAGACGCCCTCCCAGATCAGAGGCTGCTTCCGTAACTGGTGCTTTACACCATTCAGAGAAACCAAATCAAACTATTTTTTCTGTCCGAGATCTTTGCACATGAAGAGGTGGCAAAATAGCATGCTGATAACTAGCAAAAATCTAGGCTATGCTTAGCTTTCACTGCTGCAGAATTATTTGTGAATTTTAAAATTAGATGTGAAAAACAGGAGTCCTGATTAGCAATGTTTCTTTATTGTGTTTGGTTCCCAGATCTAAACGTCCAGTGCCAGTTCCAACCTCAGCACCCAGAATTGACTCTCCCCGGCCTGTAATTCCTCACCAAAAGGTATGTGACGTATTTCTCCTCAGCCAGAGTTATTATCAGTTTTATGTACTGTAGTGAACATAGATACCTACTACAGAAGTTTTTGCCACCCCAAATAGGTAAACATTGAATGAATGCACAGATACCCGAAGTGCCTATAGTACCAATCAACTATGCTTTGCCAATTTCTAATCAGAACCACCGAAGTGTCAAGCTGTTCTGTGACAGGATCTGGTCTGGTCTAGCCTGAGTGACTGAACAAGGTTGTTGTCTTGATTTTGTTCTTCTCTACGCTGCAGACAGCTAACAAAGTTTCCCGAAGCATGCATTTGCTTTTGTAGATTCTGGGGAAAAAAAAACAGTTTTGTCTATCAATCTTGACTACGACTGGAAAGACACTCGCTTGTGAAGATAACAGGACATGAGAGCATTGGGAAAGCTTGCCTTCATGTCCCATCAGTCAGCAGACATTGGCCTGAGGACCTGGGACCAAGGGTGCCTGAAAGACGGCACACATCCCTAAGATAAAGCAGTTGGGAGAATATTTGTGTTGCTGATATATTCAATTAGATAAATTGGGAAAAGGCAAAATCCTCACTGCTGCAATTCTACCCATTTTGTAAGTGCTGTTTTTCTCTCTAAAATGTAAAATACTTAAGAAGCACTCAAGATCAAAATATACAGGGAAACTAGGTGTTTTTTTTGAGGGGAGGGAGTCAATTCTGATTTCTATAGATCAGTTTTAGGAAATATTTATGAGCACTGACTTCCAAATTGAGATCTCAGGTTAGTATCATTCCTGTAATAGCTGTAGATACCTTGCAGCTAACAGAGGTGAATGCATTTAGGGAGAATGGTTTGTTTCAGATTTATTTGGTTGCCTTTGAGTTGAACCTGCCCGACTGTTTATTAGTTGAGACAGAAATTGTGGGATCTTGTAAATTTTTGGGGAAAGGAAGAAGGAACTAAGATTTTATGTTGCTCAGAGTTCTTTCTGCTTATAGGTTTATAAATGTTATCTGGGAAGGAACTTATTAGAAGAATGATCAAATGGTACTGTGAACTTCCTAGAAGAGAAAAGGCTGGTTGGTTCTTTTGCTTAACCTGGTGCTCCAGCGAAGGAGCAAGGGCAAGAGTGCTTGCTTTGTCCTAAGAACTGCACAGATGGCTGTTTCGCCTTGCAGGCTGCAAGTAGACTTGTCTTTGCAGACTCATTCTCTGCCCTGTGAGGAGATACTGAGGGAGCTGGGCCTGTTCAGCCTGAAGAGAAGGCTGAGAGGGGACCTGATCAGTCCCAGTATAAATACCTCAAGGGAGGCAGTGAGGAGGATGGTGCTGGCCTCTTTTCAGTGATTGCCACCGACAGAACTAGAGGTAATGGCCACAAACTGAAACACCAAAAATTCCACAGGAAGCTTTTTAACAGTGAGGGTGACAGAGCACTGGAACAGGCTGCCCAGAGAGGTTGTGGAGTCTCCTTCTCTGGAGATCTTCCAAACCCGCTTGGACGCAGTCCTGTGCCACGTGCTCTAGGTGACCCTGCGTGTGCCGGCGGGTGGACTAGATGATCCCTAGAGGTCCCTTCCAACCTCAACCATTCTATGGTTCTATGATTCCAACAGTCACAAAACATTTACAAGACCAGCTGTCTTTGGGGATCCTCGATAATACATATGTAGGTATGACATGTTTCCCCACTTCCACCACAGTCACTAATGTGTAATAGCTTTTACACATTTGGTTTTGGCCATGTATTCTTTCCCTGGCAAGTGTCAATTTTGGAAGGGGTAGTAACCATAGCCTTTACACCTGTTTACCAGACTAGACATCTTTTCTGCTTTTAATATCTTTCCTGAAAAAAGTTAATTCCACAAAATATAGGGTTTTTTGTTTGTTTGTTTTTAAGCCTAAAAATGCCTTTGACATGCAAGCTCTGAAGTAAAAGGTCACCTTTCCTGTATTACCCTTCAGAGAGACGTGAGGATTAAATTTCTCAGGAGCATGGTGTCTTGCACTTGTGCATTGTGTGCACTGGTGTTTGCGAAAGGTTTATAGGAGCTGTTGGAGGTAACCTGTTCTGAATAGGCTACAGGCAATACTTGCTGTTGGGAAAGAAGCTTCCTGGAATCTTTGTGTGGGAGAAGGGTGGCAGCTCATAGCTATGGCAGGGAACGGGTTTCTAAAAACAGTCAAAAAGCTTTCTAAAGTTCTTAACCCCGAGGGAACAGGTAACAGTAGAGTGCTGGTGTGGGGGATCTTTGCAAGGTCAGGGGAAATAATGGTTGTGTTTTGGAGCAAAGATGCTGCTGATCAGGTGAATAAACTCAAGTAATTTAGTAGGAGTAGCTGTTAGAAAATTATCAAGGTATTGCTGGTGTAGCAACTGGAGAGCATTTCAAGAGAAAATGAAGACATTCAACTGCTGGAGGAAAAGCCTAAAAACTGGAATAAAAAGCCTTTACAATACAAAGAGCAGTATGGAAGGTTGCCATAAGGTATGTTGTATTAAAAGTACTTTAAAATCAAGATTTCTTTGCTTTTCCCTTTATTATGTCTAATAACATTGTAAATATGAAGAGCTCCATTACACATAGGCAGAAGCTGTCACCCCCACATCATTGCTTGATAGTGTTCAACTCATGGAGCACATGAAAAAAAAAATGGATCGCATTTCAAACAGCTACAGTAGATGTCAGTCACTACAATGTTGTCCACAAATATGGGCAGAGATTTTTCTTACTTCTCCCTGGATCAGTTAAAGGCATGCCTGTGTCAGCTAAAGCATGTGCAGGTTTGGGGTCGTGTACAAATGAATCTATGGCTTATATATTACTGCTGATCAGATTGCAGCTTGCACTAATTTTCAAGCATGGATTTTTTTTGACTGCCGTGGTCATGATCTCACTCATGTTTTTAGAAAGTAAACTTAGTTCCTTCAAAGAATGTGAAGAATATACAAAAAGCTCATTATTTTCAGTGTGACAGAAATTGTTCTACTTTGTGTAAGTAATGGAAAGTTTGTCTTCTCTCCTTCCCTCTGGTCAATTTTATGGGTGACACAGTTCCTTCAGCCTGAAGTTATGAGATCAACTGTGCTGGGGTCTGCACTGGAAATAATAGATTTACTCTTCTCTAACATTAATCTGCAAGTTGAAACAACAGTTTTGATTCTGAGTGAGATTCAGCCAGACCTTTTGCACAGGGGTGGCATAGCTGAAAGAGAAGAGTATAAATGAGGCTGAAAGCATTCAGACTGGAAGAAGAGTAAGCCTGACTCTAAGGACTGAGACTAAGCCATCAGCAGCCACTAGACTGAGCTCTGCAACTTCTGAGGGGAGGCAATTGGGCATGTGCAGGTGAGGAGTCAGCTTAGTGCAGTTCCAGATGTTCTAGCTGAAGCCTTAAGGTGAAGCGCACAGCTTTAGCTTCTGCCCCTTCGCACAAAGGTATTAAAGATAAGCTTGTTAATAGCATGACTACATGTTGTCCTGTTTTTGAAACACTTGGAGAGCATGTATTTCAAAATCTCAGAGAAAATCTTATAATGCCTGTTACTTGTTTCCTGCAAAATTAGGGAATTTGTGTGGCTAGGCAAAAATAGCCAGAAAGATCTTAAGCATGGGATAGGAGAGCAGGCCTAGGCAAAAGCTCTTTGGATGTTTTTGAACCGAGTTATTTCATGCCATGGTGCCATTTCTTTCTTTTTTTATTTTTTTATTTTTATTTCTTCTCTAAAACTAACATTTAGCTTCTCCTTGGCATGTTGGGCAGTTAAATTCATCAGTATAGCTAAAGCATTTTGAAATTGTTCTCCTAGAAGTGCTGTAAAAAAATGGAGTAGCCTGTAAGGACAATAACAATAGATAATAGAACGTGGGTTACTGTAGGAAGAAGACTTGAAAAACTAGTTATGTTTCTTCCTATGGAAATTCATCAAATTCATCTTTCACCTCTCCTGGATGTAAGAGGTGTGCTTACCTTTCATAGAATGTAAATATTCTTAAGGAAAACATAATAATATTGCAGAATTGGAATGAGATGATTCCTAACTTCCTTTTATTCCCAAATGTTTGAGATTCTCTTCTACGGTTATTAGTTATCCCCTGACATTACACTGTGAAATTAAAACCCTATTTTCCCCTTGTAGTTAGCAGCAATAAGGATTGCAGCAAGATGATAGCTTCTCTTCTCTAGGCAGGAGGATGCCCATTGCTCAGTGTCAGAGCCTCCTCTTCTGGTCAGCTGAAGGGTAGCCTCACACTTGCCTAGTTTAGATTCTTACTTTTCCAGCTACCAAGATGATGAGGAATGGGAGGAGACAGGAATGGGAAACAAGGGAATGTTTGTTACTGTTGGCTGCGTTTCATGTGATACAGTGCTAAGAGTTGGGCTGTCGCTGCTCATTCTTAGAAATCTGACCTTCAGATTTCAGAAAGGCCTTTCCTGTGTTCATCTGTCTTTTTATCATTAGACTACAAAGAAGCAGAACATTAATTTATTCTCAAATATCCTCCCAGAGATAAACTGAATGGTGGATACTTTATAAGTCACAACAGAGAAGAGCTAAATAAGCTGATCATTGGATGACAATTGTTTTGAAGGAATGATACAGCTGTTTTCTTATCTGCTTAGTGATTCTCCCCTTTTTCCCCAAGTGCAGGGAAAATAGCTACCTGAGAAATGCTGTGAATACTAAGCCAAAATTGGGAATGCAAAGCTGGCACTTTTGGGTTGCTAGAAGTTCTAGTAGTTACTTCTGTATGTTTATTCTGACTAGAAATGGTTTGAGGAGTGAAACCAAAATTCTATTCATGTCATTAAGTTCGGCATTCGTCAGCCTGCATTTCTTATGTCCATCTTCCCCATAATTTTCCCTTAGCCTCCTGTTAGCATTCAGGAACATTGAAACTATGAGAAGGCATTTTGATTACAGAAATATCCAGTACTTCTCTCACTAGCAGTTCAAATTGATACCATCATCAGGTCTGCATGCATGTCCCTTTACAATGAAGTTTAGTAAG